TCAGTGATTTGCAGCACATTAAATTAACACAAAACAAATAAATTTAGTGAAATTTAGCAAAACTTATCAAATTTAGTGTGACGTTCGCTAGCCACTATCAATAGGCAACTGAGGACTCGTGGCGGCAAGCTGGCATGAACTATAAGCGGGAATATGTAAAGCAACAGATACACATACATGTAAACGAACAATGGAACTAGGGTGCTGTCATACTATATGAGCCCGCATTTATTATGTAAGCGGTTTCCCTTGTGTGTAAGCCGGCATCTTGTGTTGTCCTGTTTGAGTTCATTTACATTTATATTTTACATTTACATTTAGGTTTTGTTAATATTTCACGGTTACATTGTTTGCACTCTAAATTGAATAACGAAAGTTCCGGTTTCGGAAATGGATCGGAAGACTGTCAATGTACACCTAACAAAATATCAAATTAATTACAAACCAGATAAAATTCTAAATGGTTTTTAAAAAGTGCGGGTGTAACCTTGAAACATTATTTTGGTTTTAACTTAGCCTATTCTGCCATTCAACTACCTTTATTGTTGCGAGCAGTTGGAACAGACGTAGTATTTCAGTGGAACTCCACAAATGTTATCGCTACCGTAAAATGGGGATTGGTAGATCCTAAAATCAGGATTTTCAGAAAGGTATTTATGGCGAACGCAGAAATCAACCCTRCACTAGCGAACGATCTTAAAGCAAGAGTTAGCTTCGTTGGCAATCTYATGGCAGGTCATGCCTGGTTTAAAATAACAAATTTAGCCCTTAGTGACACCAAAGACTATGGCGTAGTAATACAGGAACTAAAGCAAGGACCTCCTGAATCGATGCAAAGTGTGCACTTGAAAGTCATAGGTAATGCATACCAGCAGAAAACAATAAGAACTATAATGATATAGAATAGAAAAGCTAGAATCGAAGAGAATCGAACRAAATGGAATGAAATAAAACAAATTAAATTAAATTAAACAAGGACCAAGGGGGGACTTCTCACCCCTTCGGGGCTCGTTTGTTATCAAAGTACGATAGGTCTTCTCTAAATAGCTAAATGCGAACATTATCCAAAACTATATGAGAGTGTTTTCGATTATCAGAGGAGAACGGAACTCTAAGAAATCTTAGCTTAGGATTGTCGATTGAAGAAAGCATGCAAGTCAACCAAACGTTGAAACGTAAGCTTAAGCAACAGCCAAGAAAGAGCAATGACATAAACTTTAATTATAGTATTTGGCTCCCTGTACAACCTTAACCTCTAACTCTATGAGATAAACTTAAACAACGATGGCGGCCTGATAAGACAACTGTTCAATATAGTGCGAAAACAATATTGCATCAGTATTTGAGTGACTCCAGGATGTCAAATTGCTTCAAGTATTTCTCTCATGAGGTTCGGAGTCTCATAGATGAAATGAAAGCAAGTGTAAATGAGTCTGGTGACACCTTTTCCTTGGCGGGTTTATATTCTACTGTGTAGCTGAACGATGGAAGCTCAAATCCGTCGTCAACCCTGAATCTTGTTGTTTATATCTTAGCGTTGATCAGTTTTGARTCTGAAGTGCTGTCCGGTAAGGAAGTGTCTCCATTTGCGGAATGCTTTAATGATGCATTGAACGGTGACAGAGCATTTTCATCAAATGGGAAGGCAGTAGCTTGAGATAGTGGTCTTATTTTGTCCGAGAAGTTTGGGAGATATAACATCATCTAAGCAATTGCATAAGGTTTAGAGCCCCCTAGTCATAGAGATTGTACAATAGAATGTCATTGCAAAACTAGCTTTAGAACAGTTTTAGAAAAAGGAAACTTTCGCAAAAATACACAGATAAGGACAAATTTTGAGACAATCTACCTGAATGCTTTGGGTGATTTCCATTCTGTTGTTTATAATTGTGCACGTGTTTACGAGATTTTCCTTTTTTAGACGTAATACCCCGCTTTATCAAAGTCCCACCAAGAGTATTGTACGTCCAATTAGGTGAAGCTGCTATTTTTGAATGGAATTATATTTCTGGAAACAAAACAAAGATCTTGGATCCTCTGTCGCCTCGTTGGGAGGTGTATAATAGTGCCAATGGCTGGAAATCAATCGGTGCAGACGTTAGTACATTAGATTGGCAATGGAAACTYAGTCCATCTTGTCCAGAAAGACTGCGGAATCCTACAAGAGTGAGCAAGGCTTCGACTGCCAACCTTGTTCTATATAATGTAACCATAGCAGATAGTGGAATCTATAGGTGCAATCTAACATTAAGACATTTACGTCCAATAACAAGTATGACAACACTGATGGTCACAGGTAACAATGCCGTYAAATGCAATCCAAGTCGTGACGATGTATTCTTTCCTTTTCTTATTTTTTCTATGTATTGGAGGTCATTGATAATTGTTTCCATAGTTTCACACTCTAGCTGAGAGGTTATACATATCTAATCATCATAAATTAAACTGTCAAACCGGATTGTGGTGTGTTATGAGATGCTGATGATACCGTGAAATGTGAAATCAATTTCTATATACCAGCGATTTTTTAGACTTTGTGTCCTTGACTAACCAAGTTTTTTGTTTTATCGTTTACAAGCTCAACCACAATTCACTTCTGCACCATCGCCTATAGTAAATGTTGCTGAGAATAAAGATGTTCAGCTGTCTTGTACAGCAGTTGGTCCCCCGACGCCAAATGTTACATGGGTTCGCGTACAAGAAGGTGTTGAAAGGGTAATGGTTGCTCAAGGACCTGGCAATGCAACCCTAATAATACTAAACATCAAACGAGGTCAGAAAAGAACGTACGAATGCCATGCGGCAAACAACCCAAACCAAAAACCTGTTAGCATCCAGACGACGATAAATGTCATGTGTAAGCTTTTTATTTCTACTTGATTTAGAAATGAATGTCTCCAGTGCCAAAACAATTGGCAGACCCCGTGGCATGCTAGGCGCGTAGCGTCCTTTACGCATATACGCACGTGCGTGCTTGTGGCAAGGAAATATTAAAATTTTAACAAAATTACTGAAAAGTTCACATAAAATTTATATGGGATCGATGTCTCTCAAAACGCTGGAAATCGCATTTCCAAGAGTTATTATTCCAAAATTTCCTGTGGGAGGTCCAGACTCCGTTAATACGATATGTCGCGGTCCCTGACATGTGCGTACTAGCCAAAAAGTCCACGCTACGCGCCTGCATGCAACTTCTTCTTCCGACAGCCAAAGTGTTTGACAGAAATCCGTTTTAAGTTTCTTGTAAAAGAATGATATCTATCATATAATTATCTATGAAATACCTATATTTCTCCATTACGTAAAATTGATGTTTTCACTAGTGAAAATAACACATTCGAGGTTTCTCTATATAGCGGAAGTAAGAAAAAAGGCATTTTACGACATAATTGCTTTCATATGTAATTATATGATAAACAGGATATTACATGGTCGATTGGAGATACGAATTTTATCTTCTCGTGTTGAAAATTCGCTACGCTCACTCGTGAGAGATCTTTTCAACACTCGAAGATAAAATCCGTATCTCCGCGCGCCCATGTAATATCCTCTATATGTAACATGTAATATGAATCTATGTATTGTTTTCGTATTGAAGCACATGCAACTTTTTACTATTTTAACGGACTGGCTGRTTTAATGTAATTTTCTTTATAACTTGCATGTCCTATCCAGATCCACCAAAGATAGACCATTCACGTTCAGACAATATAATAACATCACTGAGTTACGGGTCCACTCGACTACGTTGTGCATTCAGCGGATTCCCTCTTCCAAATATCACGTGGTATAACTTCAATGGACAACCAATCGTGCAAAACGTGACGTCTTTTCCTGGTTTTAGTGAGTTGTCAATCAAACTAAAAAAYATGCATGCTTCTGCAAGATTCATGTGCCGTGCTGAAAACACTTTAGGATATACTGGCCACAATTTGACTATAATAGTTAATGGTAAGCATTGACTTTAATAATTAGAAATTCAGAAATTAGCATGCTGTACAACTGTACTGCCAGAGACTTTCTCGTTTGATCTGCGCACAACATCATATCCCCAAAATGGCCAGGATTTTTATATTTAACGCGGTGCTTAATGGAGTACGGTTGGCAGTAAATTTAGCTTAATGCAATGTTAAGCATTCCTGCCAGATAAATCTAAATATTTTGCGTGAATCTTGTTAAACAAATGCAATGCAAATAATCGCGAAAAAAAATAATCATTTTTTATAGATGTTAATTAGATTTCAATTGTAATTTTCTATTTACCACCTTGTCTTCCTAGAACCTAAAGCTGAACAATGCGGCAAAATTTCAGAAAAGGGAGCAATCGATTTTGGTTTGTATACAGAAGTTGTGGAATGTGCATTCYAATTTYTGATAAATGTTATATAATGTCTTTAAACATATGATGTTATGTGATCAAACTAGCATCAGGCAGTATTTGTTTAAAGTGCCTATGACGCCTGATACAATAATTTCTGATTCTCTTTGAGCTGATTCTATATAAAGTAAATAATTGAATGGTGTTGTGTGTTTGAATTATGAAGAGTTCAATCTTACAATATGTTAATAAAACTGGTGTCAAGGAAGGATTCGTTAGATATATGAATTTTGAACGATTCGCTTAATAATGGTTTCATAAAATTAAATTGAACAACTATATATATTTCCCGATGCATCTCATGAAAACATTTTTGAGCGACTGTTTCAAAGTTCGTATATCTAATGAGGCCTCCCTTGACGTCACTATCATTAGCATATTGTAAGATTGAACCTTCAAAACTCAAACACGCAACACTGAAATGCTGCAATATTTTACCATTCAATTATTTACCATATACCATGTTCACAGAGAATCAAGCAATTATTGTGTCAGGCGTCATAGGCACTTTTTAAAAGAATAACAATCAAACTAAAATTGCTTCTATATTATCAGACAAATCCATGTTCACTTTTTTGTTTCTTTTTTCACTTGTCAGTTTCATCGCCAGTATTCGTCGTCTGCATTGGTATCATCATTGCATTAATTATTGCCAATGTCATTTGCGTATGCCTCATTACCAAGTTCTTTCATAAGAGACGTGGGTAGAAGCCATTTCTTTCTTAAAATTTTAGACTAAACAACTTTAATTATTTCTTATTTTTTCTCTCTTAACAGGTGGTAAAAGCAAAGAGAGAGAAGACTCGTTCCATCAGGTATATGTACAAGCGCATGATGGAGAGCCAAATGATTCACATCGAAGATTTTTAATCTTAAAAGCTGCTATCCATGCTGCTATTAAAGCATTTTACTTCTCCTTTGTTTTAACTATATTRCATTGCATAATAGCGTTGATATTTTCCCATGATTTTTGTAGGGAGTACTGAATATGTCARCAATTCCCGATACACATTCTCCTCCGCTATCGGAACATGGTGTATCTAACAGGAGTGCAGAAGAAAGAGGCGAGACAGTTTACGAACAGGTTCCAGAAATTCCTGCTGTGAGCGAAGCTAATAACACAAGCAATTCACTAGCTGGTACCTACCAGGAACTCAACGTTTTGCAGCAAAGTTTACATGATTATCAGAGTCTTGAAGGCATGCGATCAGCCGTTCCTAGTAGGCCTCAATGCTCAAAATCTGAAGTAGAAAATGCCTACGAACCTTTGAGGAAAACCAATAAGCCTCATTATGAGCAATTTCGCCGGGCGTAAGAGTACTTTTAAGTAAAAACGTGAATTCTCAATTCTGTTCGTGTCTATACGAATAGCCAGATATTATCAACAACATTCAGTTAATGCTGATATGCCATGCCATCCCTAATACAAACGGTAGACTAATGATATATATCGTACGTTTTAATCAAAATTGACCTCTGAGGCCAAGAAAATAAATCCTTTTCCAAAATACAAGAGAGATGCCTATAAAATAATTTTTTATTGATAAACGTTTCTTCTTCTAATTTGAAATCCTTACCCAGACAAGATACATCTAAAGCTAGAAAGGTCATTCATTCAGTTTCGTAAGCATACTGCTCAAAACTACATTCGATCTGGACATGCGCGTGCTTCTGATGATTAGAAATGCATTCCGATGAGATCACAGATACCACATTTATAAACGAGTGGCTTTTTGATGATATAAAATCGCAAGTGGACATTTGGACTTCCTGTCAAGTTACGTATTAATACAGTAAACCCAATACCTTAGAGTGATTTTCATTAACCCGCGAAACACACTTCAGCGTATTTATCGCTATTAAACTTTGGCTCTTTTGTTTTTTACTGTCTCTACGCGACTATTACGATCTATTACACTCTAATTATTACACTTTGTTTCACGGGTTTATGAAAACCACTCTATTCGTACTAATTATCGCAAGTCTTCAATATCGCGAAATTAAAATCTCGCGAAAAAAGGATACGCGAAAATTATACATGCGAAATTTAATAATCTATAATTGCTTTATTCATTTCACTTCTTTATATGAAAATCTTGATTGTAAATCGATTATTTATTAAGTAATCATCCAATAAAATATTTTGCACAATTTGGTGAATAGTGTTTCACGCTTTTCTTGAACGCAATCTAGTAACTATCAGTAGTCTTATCAAAAGTCATTAAAGACAATGCGTACACTGGAGATACTAAGTATGTACGGTTGTCTCCAGAAGTGGTTCGAACACTCCTCTTCTGACCCTATTGCAAGAAGTCTCCCTTTGAAACATCGAAAAAGGGTTTAGTTTATAAACAAGTTCAAACGCTCGAACTCGAGCCTGCGTTTGAATCGTTACAACACAACACAGACAACTATCGTTTTATACTACTATACATCCATAATCTCATTTAATGTAATTGCCATTCAAAATCACATRCTTTTGTTAAAAAATGTACAACTTAAGTGAAATCTCATCAATATTGGAAGCACTGCATTATTATTCTTGAAGTCAAAAAAACAAAATTAAAAAAAATAAAAGGACCAGATATAAAAACATCATTCCTTCTGGGTTGCCGGCCATTAGCTCGTCAAGTGGACTGTAGGGATCTGGCAAAACATTGTTCATTTTTTTGCAACCATCATCAATTATAGCTTCCACTCGTGTGACAATAACC